TGAACACCATCTGTGTGGATGGAGCCGTGTGCACACTGGCGTACCCCGTCTGTGTGGATGGAGCCGTGTGCACACTGGCGTACACCATCTGTGTGGATGGGGCCGTGTGCACACTGTCTGTGTGGATGGAGCTGTGTGCACACTGGCGCACACCATCTGTGTGGATGGAGCCATGTGTACACTGGCATACCCCGTCTGTGTGGGTGGAGCCGTGTGCACACTGGTGTACACAATTTGTGTGGATGGAGCCGTGTGCACACTTGTGTAAACCATTTTGTGTGGATGGGGCCATGTGCACACTGGCGTACACTGTGTGGATGGGACCATGGGCACACTGGTATACACCATCTGTGTGGATGAGGCCGTGTGCACACAGATGTACACCGTCTGTGTGGATGGGGCTGTGTGCACACTGGCGTACACCATCTCTGTGGATGGGGCCGTGGGCACACTGGTGTACACCGTCTGTGTGGATGGGGCTGTGTGCACACTGGCGTACACCATCTCTGTGGATGGGGCTGTGGGCACACTGGCGTACACCGTCTTGTGGATGGGGCCGTGTGCACATGGGTGTACACCATTTGTGTGAAAACCTGTTCTCAGCCTTTAGATCCACATCCAGGAGTGGGATTTCCAGGTTGCCTGCCAACCTGAGGTCCAGCTTTTCACTGTTCCCACAGTGCTTGCCCCTTCATATACTCTTGAGCACGGAGCAGTCTTTAGATGCTGAGCAACAAGAGGACGGCCTCAGCTGTCCCACTTCACAGTGTCTGAGGAGGCAAAGGTTCCAGCAGTGACCAGAGGGGAAGCCTAAGGGGGGGTGGCCACTGGAAACCACAGGAGGCTGACACAGAACAGCCCTGACCAGAGCAGAGTGGCCAGTGATGGCTTTGGCCTCAATGGAGAATGAAGGGATTTGGGGGTTCTGTGTTTGGGCTCTGGGTTTCAATTCATCCCACCCCCATACTGACCACTCAGAGAGCCCAGAATGAGTAGGGGCAATGCTTCCAGCCTATGGGTAAGACGGTCTCAACACTCACTGGGGCAGCGCTGATGCGAAGGTGGGAGCTCCCAGATGTGGGCTCAGCAGACCTACAGAACACAGCTAGGTGGACAACAGCGGGTATGCTGGGGAAGCTTTGGCGCTTTCTAGGGCAGGCCGACCGATGCATTATTGATGGATGTTCTGCAGAGTTTGCATGCCGGGCTGCAGGGAGGTGAGTGAAAGCCCTGGGGATGGCTGCTTTCTAGTTGTCTTCCTGCTCTCAAACTTGAAAACGGTTAAATCACTTTCTTAATGAATTCACTGCAGCCGCATTGCTGACACAACTCCAAAGGCACCTGCCCTGTTCTCTGTACCCAGTGGGAACTGGGGAGGGGGTGCCACAGGAAAGCAATTGGCTGGTAGGGGTGACCCTGAACACAGCATGCCCACTGTACCCAGCACCTCCTTCTAGCTCCATGGGGGGATAATACAGGGGCAGAGACTACCAAACTGAGATCCACCTGGGCTCAGAGGCAGGCAGAAGACCCTAGAGCCAGCTGGCCTGCTTCTTCTGAGTCCCTCCAGTATTTCTCCCATCTTGCAGGAGCAGCTTCCCTCCCAGGTCCTGCTGTCCACAAGCAAGTCCAGCTCCCCCTCTAGTGGCAGGCTGATGTACACACACATGCACACTATACACACATGCAGAGACCTACAGGTGTGTACACACATGAATACACACATACACATGCATACAGGTTACACATATTCCTACATGTCCACAGGCATTGATGTGCATGCGCACACATGCAAACACATGTTCATGTTAATAAGCATATGCTTCTATGTTTGTTTATCTTTATCCAATGCCACATGCGGGCAGCAGTGCTAAGCTTGGCCCATGATTTATCCCTCTCCAGCTGACAGGTTGGCTGTGTCTGGGACAGAGAGAGGAACAGGAAGGGATATAGATGGAAGGGGTGAGAGGGGAGGAAAGGAAGAACAGATGGAGAGAAGGGAAGAATGGGTATAGGATGGGTAGATGGAGGGATGGTGGGGGATGAGGGATAGTAGATGAAAAGAGGAATTCTGTGACCTGTTTGCTGCCTATAACTTTTCTGGAGCCAATGTATGGAACTCACACACACTTCTCTGTGTCACAAGGTGGGACCTGCCCTTTTCTAACCTTTCAGGAGAGCAGAACTGGAGATTGAACCCATTTTGAGTTCCCAGTGGTGCCAGTGAGAGGTGACAGGGTCCTCACAGAGCTGCCCCCTCCCTGAACTAGTCAAAGGCTGCCATTCCCACAGCATGATACCCCTCTAGTCAGCAGTGAGCAGGGGAGGGTCATGTGACTCCCTCAGTGCGTGATACGGCACACCATCGTCCTTTGCTCGCCTTTCAGAGAGCACAGCTGCATCCAGCTGCTCCCCTCTCCTCCATGTGGAACTGGAGACCCACACTGCTGTGTCCTGCCACGTGCTAACCTGGCATTCCTTCCCCGTCCAGTCCTATCCTTCCGTTTAGCTCTGCTCCCACAGTGACATCCCTTAGCCTGGCCTTTCATCTGCAGACTGTCCACTCTGAAGATGGTGCAAGTTCCTCTGAACCCTGACCTGCCCCGTCTGCCTCAACGCCGAAACTGACTGTGTCCACTGACATACAAATACGGTTGCCCTCCTTCTGCCACAGCCACCTACCACAAGGCAACCCATGCCAAGGGTGACCCCACTGAGGAAGCCTCCATTCCCCATCTACCGAGCCCAAACTGACCCGTTGTCTTTCCCCTCCAGAAAGTCCAGCAGTACACGGTCATCGTCCAGGCCACTGATATGGAAGGAAACCTTAACTACGGTCTCTCGAACACAGCCACTGCCATCATCACGGTGACAGACGTAAACGACAACCCTCCGGAATTCACCACGAGCACAGTGAGTACCATACATCCTCGCAGAGACACAGCCCCAAACTGCCACCTCCCTCTGGGTGGTGGGGGAAGAGCTGGATGGACCGTGGGTAGCAAATACTGCTGCACAGATGACTGACCGAGAGGGACACTGGGCCAGCCATCTCTGCCGGGAAAGAATGGCCTAGCCTGTCCAGTGGAGAGATGGCCCTAAGGGCCGGGTAAGCCCCAGGATTAAGTGGCTGGCTGATACCTTGCTGAGATAAAGCTCTGGAGAAGGTGGCCTTCCAGGCTGTCACATGTTTAGGGAGGCCGTGTGACTGTGCAGTGTCTTGCTTGCCAGATGCTCAGCTGGACCCTGGCTATGGGCATGTGTGTCTTTGACGCAAAGATCCCCTTCCTACCTTGGTCCTCAGCAGACAGTGGCTGGCCCCGTGTGGTTCCCACCCCCAGACAAGGAAATTGGTAAAGACTGGGCTAGACCCTGGACACTGGGACCTTAGAAGTTAAGGACGCATGCTGAACATACATGTATCCACCCAGCCATGGAATAGAAAGTCCACTGTGAGCCTCCAGCCACGGATCTGAGGAACAGACCCTGCCCCGCCCTGGGAGAGAAGATTCTGGAGACGAAACTGTAAATCGCATTACCCCGATCTCCCTTAGCATCCGCCTCCATGACACCCAAGTCCACGAATGGGTGAACAGTTCTGTGACCCAAGTGGTCCCCGCCCCTCCGTGAACACACAGTCCAGCCCAACCCTGAAGAAATAGCGGGCTGCAGGTGTCTGGCCGGGATGTGCAGAGGGAAAGGTCAGAAGGTCACGCTCAGACTAAAGAGGGCCATGTGTCCTTAATAGTAACAAGGACTTTTACCAGGCACACAGGTGAACACTCCCATCAGGTCCAACCAGTGAATAACAGAGACCCGGTGGTGAGCCAGGACGTGGGGCTCAGGCCCAAGGCCCACAGGAAGCAGCTGGGACTGACCCCTGAAAGTGGCTGCCATGCGGAGATGAGAGAGAGGAAACCCGTTTGCCTAAGGTGAAGGCGCCTAGAAGGCTGGTGCCTGGGCAGGAGCATGACCACCACCCCGCCCCAACCACGAGTCCTAGTCTCTTGGATCATAGCACCATCTAGTGGCCAAACAGTAGATGGCATCAACAGGCGCTGCTCAGGACCCCTGCAGACAGCATGAGTCCTGTCCCTCACTACAACCAACAGGGCAAGAGGAAGGAGTCGTAGAGGGTTTGGCCAGGGTGATGGGAAGAGAGAGCCAGGCTGCAAGGAGAGCCACTGACCCTTGCAAGTGACATCCCTGGCACAGCCAGCCTCCTGCCCTAGACAGGCTTCTAGAGGGCGGGCATGGTGGTAAGCGCTCAGTTTGGCAACTGCCTTCGGTGACAGTGCAGGAACTCCCAGCTGGCAGCTAGGAGAGACAGTTGGTGCCGGGCCCACACTGGCGCCACTCCTGGTCTAGACCATGCTTTGCTGCAGCCACTGCAGAAGGGCAGGGAACACACCCAGGGTGGCCTTGTCAGGGGCAGAGCCAGTACAACTGTCCACAGACACAAACCCGCTTGTCTCGTGATAAAACACCATGACCAAACACAACGTGGGGAGGAAAGGGTTAATTTAGCTCACACTTTCTGATCACCACTGCAGATTCACAGTTTCTGCCCAAGGGAAGTGAACCTGGAGGCAGGAACTGAAGCAAAGACAATGGGGGAATGCTGTTTACTTGCTTGCTCAGTTGCTTTCTTTGAGCACCCAGGACCACCAGCCAAGGGGTGGTCCCCAGAATGGAATGGACCCTCCAATATCAGCCATTAATCAAGAAAATGACCTACAGACTCGCCTACAGGTAATATGATGGAGGTGTTCCCTCAAATGAGGTTCTTCTTTCCAAATAACTCTAGCTTGTGTTGTTAGTGGGAAAAAATAAGGACAATGCTAAGCCAGGCATCAACCCTGTGGGGGCCCAGGATAATCACAGGGTGCTAAGACTCTGTAAATCAGGGCTACACCCCTATGCCCATTCCAGACTGCTGGAGTACAGATACTGGGGTGCAGGAATGACACAGCTCTCCTGACATCGGCGCCCCCTCTTACCTTCAGAAAGCAACGTTGGAACAATACGGTCACCACAAGAAGCAGGCCAGAGGGAAGCCACCAGAGTTCAGCTTTGGTTCATCCCCAGCAGAGGAGACGGAACACCACAGTGGCCGGAGGAGTTTTGAGGAGCATGCCTGCGGGACGAGGGTTCCATCAAAGACTGAGGACATTGTCCAGAGCATCAAAGGGCAGTGCATGACGCTTAGGGACCCAGCCTGCCTCCCAGTCCTGCACAAGCCCAGTTCTCCGCGTCTGTACACATGGTCCATGCCCACTTTGCTCATTCCCGGAGCTCCGAGAAGTTACACAGGTAGGAAAGGACAGGAGATCCCACAGATACCCTGGGCTCAGAGATAGAACCAGCAAGCCCTCCTCCTGTGGAAGTGGACGAATCCTGTCTCAGACAACCTATGAGATCATACGGGGTCAAACTCGGCACAACCCAGGCTGGCAGCTCTGACTCCAGGTGAAGCCTCGGCTCTTGCTGTGCTGCAGCCCGGGCTCTACAGCACAGCTCGAGGGTGACCATGGCCACAGTGAAAAAGCACTGACAGTCACTGGCTCCCAGTGTCCTCCCATGATAGCTCCTGGGGTGTTCCCCCATCTGACCTCAGCAGGAGGCACTCTGAGGGTGGACCGGTTTCACCCAGCATCTGAGCTCTGTCTGGTCTGGACCACCACCTCCAATCTACCTGAACTTCATCTTCTCTCAGGTACATCAGCCACGCTACAAACACCCCATGCTGTCTGTGAGAGGACAGAAGCTCTGGGGAGAGCAGTGCCTCTCTTTATGCTGGGACACAGAAGAAACCATTATGACCCCAGTTAGCACAGGCAGCCAGAGGGTCACAGCTGGAGCACAATGGCACGAAGCTTATTTCAGGGGTTGGTCCTGCCTCCATGAAACCGAGGAAGGAAGGTGGAGACTCCCACTTCCCTGGGACATGGAGAGCCAGCAGGGAGGGCAGTCTGAAGTCCCGTGAATACAGAACACTTTTCCACGCAAGCCCCACAGCTCATCTTCAGTGTACCCTCCACAGACATACATACTTGGGCTCCAGCGGCCCTCACCAGGCCCCATCCAGATGAGTGGCAGGCAGGTGCCCCGGGACACTGTCTTTGCTTCACAGTGGGAGTGTGCAGGCAGGTTGGCCACACACCACACATGGGCTATTTTTGTGAAGCTTAATCAAGAACAATCAGGCAGAGCTAAAAAAGATGCAGGGACTTGCCAGCTCCAATTCCTATTCTTAAGTGTTAATTAAAAGTTATTTTTCTTCTTGCTCCTGTGTAGCTGCAGTGCCCCCTGGAGGGCAAAGCCCACACTCGTCCAGGGCCACCCTGCCATCAGCACTCCCCTCCAGAGTGATGCAGGACCAGCCGGGGTGGAAAACAACCTCCAGACAATGCCCCAGGGGCCTGCAGCCTACCCCATGCACAGACCCCAGTGGGCTCAGAGGGACCTTGAGACCCAGCAACTGAGGTCTTCCCACCCACCCACGGCCACTCTTCTCACTGTGTGACTTTGGCTGAGGTCCAGACCTCTCTGAGCCCAGGATGCTTTCCACATTTGACATCCGTGTGTGATGGGTGGTGAGGCTGGGCCGTCGCTGGTCCTGGGAACCTTGCACCTAACAGTAAGCACAGGCTCTACCTGCAGGTGAGAGCAGTCCTAGCCCAGCCCAGCCGTTAGCAGTAAAAGGCAGGAGCAGTCACCAAAGCTCTCTACACTGAGCCTCCACTGGTAAAGAAGGAAGGCAGAGCCACGCAGGCCCGGCCTATGCAGCCCGACTACAGGGGCGTTTGCTGTTTGCCTGTCCCCTCATGGTGTTCCCATAGGTCACCTCCCAGCAGGACAAGGGAGAGCGCCCAGTAGGACAGTGTCCACCTGAAGAGCCCTTGGCCAGGCTATGCTGTGCACATGGTGCTGGCTCTCTGTCACCATGACAATGAGGTCATTGGTGTACAACGAGGAAAAATCTATTTCAGCTCGTGTTTTCTGAGGTACTGTGGACCTGTGTTGGGGGCCACAAAGTATGGGAGGTGGGGAGCATGAATCAGAAGAAACTGCTCAATCTGTCACCAGGAAACAAAGATAGACCGAAAGGAGTCAGGGTCTCCACATCCCCCTCAAGAGCACAACCCTGTGACCTGACTCCCTCCCACAACCCATACCTACCTCCTATGGTCTCTGCCCTGCCCCCCAACACTGCCGCAGACTAGGGACCAAGTCTTCAACACCTGGGACCTCAAAAGATTCTTATCTAATCAGAGCAGGATCAAAGGCAGAGGCTCACTCACCTGGCCAGAGATGACTTCCCCAGAGGCAGGAGTCCACTGAGCACAAGAGCCAAGGATCAGTGCCTGTAGGTGCCAAAGGTCTTCTAGAGGCACCTTCCCCGGTAACCTGGGGTATACATGTAACTGATACACCCTAACGCATATGCCACTAGGGACTGATCTTCACAAGGGTACCACACAGGCTGGGTTAAGAAAGCTCCCAGCCTCATGCTGACACCTCCTCAGACAGGTATAGGTCGGGGCACTGGGGCTAAGGACATCAACATATAAATTTATGGGACATGCAAAATGGATCAAAGACCTCAACATAAAGCCAGCCACACTGAACCTCATAGAAGAGAAAGTGGGATGTACCCTTGAGCACATGGGCACAGGAGACCACTTCCCAAATATAACTCCAGCAGAACAGACACTGAGAGAAACAATTAATAAATGGGACCTCCTGAAACTGAAAAGCTTCTGTAAAGCAAGGAACACGGTCAACAAGACAAAATGACAGCCTACAAAATGGGAAAAGATCTTCACTAACCCCACATCAGAGGTCTGATCTCCAAAATATACAAAGAACTCAAGAAATTTTACATCAAAAGAACAAATAATCTAATAAAAAATGAAGTACAGATCTAAACAGAGAACTCACAACAGGGGAATCTAAAATGGCTGAAAGACATTTAAGGAAATGTTCAACATCCTTAGTCATCAGAGCAATGCAAATCAAAACAACTGAGATTCCATCTTATGCCTGAAAGAATGGCCAAGCTCAAAAACACTGATGACAACTTATGCTGGAGGTTGTGGGGAAAAGGGAACACTTCTGCATTGCTGGTGGGAATGCAAGCTGGTACAGCCCGTTTGGATGTCAGTGTGGCGATTTCTCAGAAAAATTAGGAAACCACCTTCCTCAAGACCCAATAATACCACTTTTGGGTATATATCCAAATGATGCTCAATCGTGCCACAAGGACATGTGCTCAACTATGTTCATAGCAGCATTGTTTGTCATAGCCAGAACCTGGAAGCAACCGAAATGCCCCTTGACCGAAGAATGGATAAGGAAAATGTGGTACTTTTACACAATGGAGTACTACCCAGCAGAAAAATAATAACATCTTAAATTTTGAAGGCAAATGGATGGAGCTAGAAAACATCATTTTGAGTGAAGTAACCCAGACCCAGAAAGACAATTATCACATGTACTCACTGATAAGTGGTTTTTAAACATAAAACAAAGAAAACCAGCCTACAAATCACAATACCAGAGAACCTAGACAACAATGAGGACCCTAAGAGAGACTTACATAGATCTAATCTATATGGGAAGTAGAAAAGGACAAGATTTCCTGAGTAAATTGGGAGCATGGGGACCATGGGAGAGGGTTGCAGGGGAGGAAAGGGGAAGGGAGGGGAGCAAAGAAAAATGTAGAGCTCAATAAAATCAATTTTTAAAAAAGAAAACAATGTTGAATGATACCAATCTGTCTACTTTGAGAAACTTGGACTTTAAAATATTATTTTATTTTAAATAAAAAAAATTTAGGGAACATGACTAGCTATCGTGGTGCGTGGACACTCAGACGCTGCGGCAACCCTATTGCTGACTCACAATGTCAGTGACAGGAGTGGGGGCTCTCACTGTGGAGGCCACCAGCAATGACAGCCTCGCCCAGCCACACAGAGAAGCTGGGGAACCCAGTGAAAAGTCAGACCTTGGACACATGTGCCCACGACTCGGGTCTGCTGTCCTCTCTGGGATTGCTTTGTGCCCCTCTGTGCTAAATGGCCAAGAGGAAGGTTTGAAAGTAGGGTCCTCTGGAAGCGGGCTGTGCCAGCTCACCTGTACCCCTAGCACTTCCTAGGGGACCCTCTGCAGTCTGGGGCCTCGTTGCTCCAGGGCAGCTCACAGAGCAGCCCTGGGGACACTGTAGGGACATCCTTTAGGATGGGCACAGTGGGTTCCCATCAGACCCTGAATTGATGAGGCAGTTGTGCATCTTGCTAAGGTGAATCTCAAGACAGCAGAGAATGTGACCTCAGAGCTGCTGAGAGCAGAACCTAGAAGCCAGCCCAGCAGTGGCCACAGCTGGCAGGGGACAAGGATTTCTAAGGCAGACGCACCCCTTCCCCCACTCCGAGTGGGGCCATGGGGTCTTCACAGGTGCACACAGCAACCTCACTGTACCTTAGCAGTAGAGAGATGATCACTTCCATGTTTAGTCACTGGCCACAGGAGCTGACCCCCAGCCACCTGGAGCAGTGACCTGACGGTGGCAGCAGCCAGGACATGCTTCTCTCAAAAGCCTCTTGTGGCTGCCACGTAGATCCTGCTTCCCCCGCTCTTCATTGTGCATCCATCCTTGCCATTCATCCTCCATGCACGTGAGAAAAGCTGGGGTGTAGGAGGGGAGCCTGTGCCAGAGCTTGCTGCATAGGTGAGGGTTGTCCTGGGGAGACGGGAGCAGATGGGAGTCTCTGGCCAAGGCTGACCACCCACTTAGGACACCTACTCCAGAGCAGTGACCCTGCTGCTCCCAAGCACTGGCTGGGTCCAGGGAGCCAGGCCCCCAGGCTCTATGTGAGGCCCTAATGTTCTTTCTTACACTTCGCAGTTTGCAGGAGAGGTCCCTGAGAACCGTGTGGAGACAGTAGTAGCCAATCTCACAGTACTGGACCGAGATCAGCCTCACTCGCCCAACTGGAATGCAGTCTACCGAATCATCAGTGGGGACCCCTCGGGGCACTTCAGTGTCCGCACAGACCCTGTCACCAATGAGGGCATGGTCACTGTGGTGAAGGTGAGTGATTTTGGAGACAACCTCCACAGGGACTCTCCTAGCTCAGGCTGGCCTCAAACTTGTGATCCTCCTGCCTCCACCTCTCACCCACCATTTTCCACTGGAAAGGAGAAACAGTAAAGTTTAGATTCTAGCCTCCGTGTCCTTGCTGGCCTTTTCTTCCGAACGAGAGTCTCCTTCACGTGAGGCCGTGCATACACCTTGTGGTACAGTGCTCGGAGAGGATGAGGTAAGACCCTCCTCTCTGGCTGGATTCTAGGACCCACCTCTCCAGGGTGTACTCGGGTCTCATTTTTGAGCCAAGAGTCATTGAGGGAAGCGTGTCACCTCAGTGAGTATGCCCAGCATCCTAATTGAAACTGTCAGAACAAATTTCCTATTGGTTTCCACATTACAGGTATGTTTTATCTTACCTGCCAGTGGATTTTATTGGCCATAGTCTTTCTAGAAAGACTGATGTTTTAGGACATCACATACCACGTGGTTCCATGTCCCACAGAGACATGAGCCAATAAACACAGAGAGACCATTCCCTCACAGTTTTATGGAGCAGTTTGTTATAGCAAACTGGCCTGACCTCTGTCTGGTGCTTCCAGGAGGGGCTCCTGGCATTGGCAGTCACTGGTTATACTAGAGAAAGACCTTGTCACGGTGCAGTACCAGCTTTGGGAGCATGGTGGCGCCTGGAGTTTGAGGGCCCCCAGGAGCCAAGACTAGGCCTGGGGGAAGCTCACTATTTCTGGCCTAAAGGCCCCTGTAAGACCTTTTAAGAGTGGGGTCCAGTCCAGGGACCCTGTAGCCACAGGCCCTATAAGTGCACCTGTACAGTGTCCAGCAACACAGTACAAACTGGGCAGAGATAGGGCAAGCGAGGAACCAGCCCAGTCCCACGTGTACAGCTGACTTCACCAGCAATACCTGGGTCTTGGGAGGCAGAAGCACAGGCCTAGCCATGTCCCAGGACCCAGTGCCTGTTTCTAGAACCCGTGACTGTCCCAGCTGGCAGCAGGGTCTCTGTAGGTGTGACAGGGTTGAGAGTCTCTGGGTCAGCCCAGTGCAACCTCAGAGGTTTTTAAGAGAGGGAGCAGAAAAGTCAGAGAGTATCTTAGCTGGGGTTCTGTTGCAGTGGTAAACACCATGACCAAAAGTAACTTGGGGAGGGAAGGGTTCCCTTCAGCTTACATGTCCCAAGCAGATCTATCATGGAGGGGAGTCAGAACAGGAACCGGGAGACAGGAGCTGATGTGGAGGCCGTAGAGGAGAGCTGCTTCCTGGCTTGTCCCCAGCAGCTTGCTCAGCCACTTTCTTACAGCGCCTGCTCAGGGGTGGCTCCACCCCACCCACCGAGAGCTGGGTCCTCCCCCATGATTTGCCCATCAGGAAAATGTAGCACAAGCCAGCTTAGCAGCTGCGTTTGTTCAGTTGAGGTGCTCTCTCCTAAAAGGACTCCAGCTCGTGTTGAGGTGACCTAACACCATCACAGAGAGAGAAGGGAGAGGCAGAGCCGGTGGAGGCAGGAAGCCACAGCTGGCTCTGGAGAGGTACTAGACCCCACACACCCTCTCCAGTGTGGAAACATGAGGCGGGAGTCTCTGGAGGGAACTGGCCCTGCTGTTGGACTCTAACCCAGGCGCAGACATTTTACGTCTAACCCCAGAACTGCATTCAGATTACGTTAAGTCTCCAACTGGGGACACAAAATTAGCAACGAATACAAGGAAACGCTACATGAATAAAGGGTTAAACACTGCTGCTTGGCTGGGCACTGTGAGGTTCTGAGACCTTCTCCCTACGTCTTCCTGTCTCGGCCTCCTGAACGCAGGGTTTCAGTCGTGTGGCTGTGCCCAGCAGAAACAGTGTGGGGTCAGGGAGACACATGAGGCGGTCAGAGGACAACCTGCAGAAGTTGGTTCTCTCCTCCAGCCGTGTGGGTTCTGCAGGACACACTCATCATCAGACATGGCAGCAGATACCTTTACTCACCGACCCATCTTACTCGCCCTAAAACCAAAGCCAACCTTTGGTCACCATTACTCTCGGCCCTCGGTTGTATTGGCTGAGCTTCCTGTGGTTGCAGTGACTCTCAAGACCCTCAGCACATCTGTCCCTGCAAGCCCACACAGAAATTGAGGAATTGTTACTGAGAAATCATGAAGTCAGGCATGGAGATACACACCTGTAATCCCAACACTTGGGAAGCCAAGGCCCATGCCCCAGAAGCCAGCCTCTGCCTCATTAAGGCATGGGGCCGCTGGCTAGAGTTTCATCCCAACCCTCCTCTCCTCGTATTGGCCAGAACCCAGAATAAGCCAGAAACAAGAGTCTGATGTTGAGGGACAACAAGACTGGGCAGTGTGGATAGCTAGCCCTACGCCCATTCAGGAAGCCCCGGTTCACCTGTCCCTTCTTCCAGGCAGTGGACTACGAGCTGAATCGCGCCTTCATGCTGACCGTAATGGTATCCAACCAGGCGCCCCTGGCCAGCGGGATCCAGATGTCTTTCCAGTCCACAGCAGGGGTGACCATCTCTGTCACTGATGTCAACGAGGCCCCCTACTTTCCCTCCAACCACAAACTGATCCGCCTGGAAGAGGGTGTGCCCACCGGCACCGCGCTCACCACTTTTTCCGCGGTGGACCCTGACCGGTTCATGCAGCAAGCTGTGAGGTGAGTCTTCAACGTGACCTGGCCTTGTCTGACCCTCAGAATGGGGCCCAGTTCTCTGTGCTACACAAAGGAGTCCCACAATGCCCTAAGAAGCCTGAAAACCAGAAATCCCAGCAGAGAGAGGAAGGACAATGGGTACCATGTCCAGACCTGAGGCACTGGCTTAGTCTAGGAGCAACCCACCCCAGGAAGTCACGAAACAGGACAACCTTGGGCATGGTAGGCACTGCCATCATGTCCAGGCTAACAAGGGAGACAGGAGCTCTGGAGTCAGGGCAGGCCATAACTTCACTTGAGCAAGCCACTTACCTTCTCTATCCCTCAGAATACCCCCTGTAAAATGTAGATGATGAGAACACAGCCTCTGAGAGCCCTCTGGAAGCTGAGACCACCCACCACAGGGACACAGGCTCTGTTGTGGCCTGTCCTTCCCTGTGGGAGGGACACAGAGGGGCGTGAAACCTCCAGGTACTCTGAGGGAACAGCAACGCCACTGTGCTATGATCCAGGATGCTGAGGCTGTGACCCTAGGATGCATGCAGGGCTGTCCGGATGAAGGGCACCAGGGCCCTCACCTTGTCTCTGGCTTCCTGCCCATAGGTACTCAAAGCTGTCTGATCCTGCCAACTGGCTGCACATCAACACATCCAATGGGCAGATCACCACGGCCGCGGTCCTGGACCGAGAGTCACTCTACACCAAGAACAATGTATACGAGGCCACCTTCCTGGCTGCTGACAATGGTGTGTCCCACTGTGACCCGTGTCCTGGGGTTATGGGCAGGGGAAGGGGTGGTGGTGAGGGGGGCCAGCGGCACCCAGAGGGAAGTCTGTACAGGCAGCCATGAACTGGCAACTTTGTCAGTCAATGCTGCCCTCATCCTGCTCCCTTCCATCACCCAAACTTCAGTTACCCCACCTAAGAACCTGCTTACCCATTTGATCATGCTTCCACACCGTGTTCCCACAGTCCTTCATTCATGGCTAGTCATCAGGGTAGTCAGGAACCTGGGAATGCAATGGCGGATGGCTGCCCTGGCTTCTCAGCTTTCCCACCTATACCTGAGTGATGACAACAGATCTGCTGTTCTCCACACTGTTAGCTGACCATCCTACCCAGGAAAGGCAAGAAGGCCTGTGTCCACCCTAGACCTGTGACGCTGAGTCAGAGCAGGGCTGAGAGCCCTGGGAGCAAGGGAGGGCACTGGGCAGGCACTGGACAGACGCTGGGCAGGCACTGGACAGACGCTGGGCAGGCACTGGAGGCATTGGACAGATGCTGGACAGACGCTGGGCAGGCACTGGAGGCACTGGACAGACGCTGGGCAGGCACTTGGGCAGGCAGCACAAAGAAAGAGCTGAGAAATGGAACAGAAGGATGATGTTTCATGCTGAGGAAGTCAGTGCAGGTTCTTGTAGATGGATTTTTCTTTGGGCTACCAGCTCACCAAAAAAAAAAAAAAGACATGGAGATTTATACTAATTATGAAAGCTCAGCCTTAGCTTATGCCTGTTTCTAACTAGCTTGATAACTTAAGTTAACCCATTTCTACTCATTTACTTTCTGCCTCGTGGCTTTATTACCTCATCTCCATAGTGCCCTTCCTGCTTGTTCTGTGTCTCCTGGCATCTCCACCTTCTACCCAGCATCCTCTCTGCCTGGAAATCCTGACTAACTACTGGCTGTCCAGCTTTTTATTAAACCAATCAGAGTGACACATCTTCACAGCGTACAAAAAGATTATTCTACAACATTTCCCCTTTTTGTCTAAATAAAAAGGAACGGTCTTAACTCTAACACAGTAAAACTATATACAATAAGAACAATTATCAGGTATTGTCTAAAGAGAAAGGAAAGGTATTAACATTAACAAATGAAACTGTATACAATAAGAACAATTATCAATTAATAATTACATTCACAATGTCTAGTCCATTTGATTTTGGCAAATTTAGAGAAAATACCCCATTATCTATCCGATTTTTATGAGTCTGAGGTTTTCTACCTAATTTACTTTCTATCAAATCTAAGGAAAACTAACTATAACCATCTAGTCTTCAACCCCACTGAAGACCTGAGGATATAATATTACCTGGGTAAACAGGAAGTGCAAAGCAAGCAACTTCCAAAACTAAGAGAAATAACAGAAACAGTTGGCTGCCTGGGCCCAAGGTTCCTCTGTAACACTGGGGATAACACAGATATTCTACAGGTCTAGAATATCTGACAGACCTTTCTGTGAAGTAGGGATTTTTGAAGGACTGCCTTACGTGTCTTGGCAAAGTTCAGCAGTTACTTTCTTTTGTATCTTGCTTGTCCAATTTGGGCATCATACTTAAGCACAATTAATAAAAGCTCAGGACAGATATTGGGGTTCAACCTAAAGATCTGAAAATCAAAGCAGCCAGCCACTAGCTCTTACCTCGACATCAGTCTGAAATGGCGATCCTCTCTCCAGAAATCTCAGAATGAGACTGAGTCTGAGAGCTGTCTCTCCCCCCCCCCCATTTTATAATCCTCTCTAGGGCTGGGATTAAAGGCATGCACCACCCAGTTTCTATGGCAAACTAGTGTGGCTACTGGGATTAAAGGTGTGTGTAACCACTGCCTGGTCTGTAAGGCTGACTAGTGAGTCTGTTTTACTCTGTGATATTCAGGCAAGTTTTATTTATTAAAATACAATTGAAATGACAATATACCATACTGCCAGCAGTCAATACAAGGGCAACTTCTTTGTTCAGTGTCTAACTTTTGCTACAAAGAAAGCAAACTCTGTGTGGAGTGTCTTTGATGCCCATCATCTTCTTGGTGCTGCCAGGAGCAGACATGGCTCATTGTCATGAAAAGCCTTATGTTATTAAGACAGCTTAAATGCCATATTCTGTAAGTCTCTGAAGTATTTTGAAGACCATCTATCTATTAAAAATATTCCTCTGTTTGAACTTGAAAACATACCTAACATGACTATAAATTTGATTGTTATAGATGACTATCACCTATGTTTCTTTAATATCCTAAATAGCTTTCAAAAACTAAAACCTTACCTAACCTTCTCAAATGAGCTGCATAAGTGCAATACCTTAGACAGGAGTAGAAAGACACATGCAGTGTTAACAATAACCTTAAATTTGTATCAATACACAAAAAATCCATACCAATGTAAAATATTTGAGACTAGTAGTTGTTCAAAAGTAGACTCAATAATCCACCCCTTTATCCCATCCTTTCTATACTATGTCCCCCCCACACCCTGTTTTCATTTCAGAAAGAGATCCCCGAATCTAATCTCCTTTGTTTAGATGCTGACCATGACCAGTAACAACTTGTAACCAACCCCTCTAAGTGATGACAAACCCACCGAACGACCAGAAACCACCCAGCCTGTAATGGCGTAAACGAATGCAGACAGATTGTCAAAATATATACAGCTTTAATGGAGAAATAGATTTACAAAACCACCGTTCCCGCGGAGACCAGGAAAGCAGAAGAAGCAGCTGGGAGCATGCTCGCCAAATTTATAGGCTAACATTAGCCCGAGGCGAACACGCTCCCTAAGGGGCGGGACCTATCCCTACACCAGCCCACCTCTTAGTAACGTGGGCGCGTTGTGTCTGATTGTGTGAGACAAATCTTTAAACTGCTGTGGCATGTCAGCCACCGACACAGCTTAGCTTAGGTCATGGCACCACCACACCACACTGGAGGCTGGCTCCAGCCCGCCTGACAGACTGCAAGACTAGAAAACCACATCTGGCTACTTGTCCAGAGATTTTCTTAGCTTTCTCCGGCCCTGTGTTTGGATATTCGATGCCATTTGTAGGCAGATTTTTGTTT